TTAATATTCTTATGAGTATAATTTAATGGGTTATTCCAACAAATATGTAAATATTTTGAACAAAAAATAAAGCACACTTTAATTAGGGTTGGGAGTTCAGGTATCCGTTGAGATACGGGTTGGATACTTTGAATTCTGGTCCTAATTTATATAACATCATAGATCTCATATTGGTAAATTTGTAAATATAGACGGGTTTGGATATAATTCATCTGTTTTGGTTCTAATTTGTATCACATCTTAAAACCCATAAGTAACGATATATCGTTCGTATTTAGATTGTATTGGTTCGGTTCATATATCTGAAGTTAAATCCAAAATTAAAAGCAAAGCATAAGAAATAAATACTTATCTATATTGAATTAGATATTTAAGGTATTTATTTCAAATTTAAATTTTTTTATGATATTGTTTCAAATAAATATAAAACTGAATATTTGAAGCACATATTTATGTTTCAAATATTTATAGTTGTGATTAATTTGGATTTTCAAATCGGTTTTTTGGGTTTTCAATTTTTTTTCAAGCTATACGTTCGGGTTTAGCTAATAACGCTTCAGATTCGGATATGTTTTGTACCATTCTACAAAATTTATTCTGATATTTCTTACCTTTGGACCGGATACCGATCGTTTTTTTTTTGTTTGGGTTCAGTTCGGGCTTCAGGTTCATATTTTATATTCATACCTAGATTTTGTTCCGCGCTTTTAAAGTGCGAGATTATTTTTTTGTTGATAAATTTATTAACCTGTTTGTTTGCTCACTAATATGTTTAGGCAATTCAGTGTTTGATTCCTTTCATGTTTTTTTGTTTTATTCTGGTTCAGTTGTGTTTTCGTTTTTTTTTGTTCAAAGCCTATAAAAACCATTTGGTTATTTATGAATATGGATACCTTTTTATTTGATTATTTTAGTTTTTGATTTAGTTCAAATAACAATATTCGAATCTGATAAAATTTTGAGTTCACCTTGGTTTCCATAAGTTTTTACATCCAACCAGACCCGTGGTTTGATATGCAATTTCGGTGATCCGCTAAATTATCCGTTATGAGTATGAAGAAATATTCACTAATTAAAAACCACTAAAAAACCCTAAACCCGCCAATCCGCCAACCCGCCAACCCGCCAACATTAAGTTACTGTAGTTTTAGTAAACAACACCAATCGGTCTTTACTCAATGATCTTACAAAATAAGTACAAACATAAACTTAGGAAACCGAGGATCTTCAGTTATACCGTTTAACTTGGACCGCAACATTTCGGCGACATATTACATCCTAGCGGGAATAGATTTATAAAATTCACAAATCACAAATACTTATGTTTACGAAATTTAAGGAAAGAATTTAATCTATATGTCGGATTAAACCATAATTCTTATTGACCATCTATCCGAGCCCGGATACTCATGCCTTTACATACTTGTGAATAATCTAACAAGGGCAATAATTTAAAGCAAAAACGGTTGTCCCGTCCTCTATAAGGACGGGTCAAAATCTAGTACTTATATTAAATTAAAAGCTCATTGAACTAAGTTGATAATAATCGGAGAAATTTTTCACAGTAAACTAATATACGAAAATAACTAAGACATGACAAAAAATAAATATGACCAAAGAAAGAAAAGATTAGTAGAGAAACTTCACTCGTAGTCCTAACTCCATATTCGAAGGAACACAAAAGGTTGGATTCGATGTTGAAGAATCCAACTAATGGGTTTTAATAGCAAGAAATCTAAAAACCTCCATAGAAGATTGCAGCTACGGTGAGTCATAATGTCTACTCTGTGAAGAACTATCGATGTTTAAGATAGCATAAAGAGATGGAGACGCAACAATGACCTAGTCCACACTCATACATAGTAATTCCTGCAACGAGGAAATGGGTGGGGGATCGTAGAGCAGACGTTGTGAAGAACAATCGATGATTGAGACGGCGTATTATGATGGAGAAGCAGTGATGACATAGTAGCGAGTAAATCAGGCGAATCTACACTCCTGCCCAATAGATCACATATCAACAATTTTGGGACAATATTTGCTCTTTTTTTTCAAAAAAAAAACAGTCGCAAAGAAGTGAAATTAAGATGATGATATATATACATACCATTTAGGTCAACATTAAGATACTTTGCGCAACAAACCAACGGTTAGTTTCTTTGTTTCGTTGATCAGGAAGTACATCCCTTCGAGTTAATTCTTCTAATAAAACATGAAATAAAAAGACGAATTTAATGATCCTTTTATCAATTTGGTTAGCATAGCCGATTACGTTGGCAATTATTGTGATGAGTGCAGTTGTGTGATATTTTTCTTTCATGAAAGATAGTGTTTTGAATTTTCATATCTATTATATTAAAAGAGAAGTCATGACTCATTTTATGTGTGATATTTTAGTTTAGACCATTTTTAGATTTTATAAAGTTTTACATAAAATTATAATCTTTTCATATCTTTAATTTTTGTTTGAAATACAAATAAATAGTTTTTAAAAAATGCTAACAAAATATTTTAAAAATCTTTTAGAATCTTTTTCAAGATATAGTTTCAAAAATTATTTAATTAAAATTTTAATTATCATAAAAGATAATTAAAATTTTAATTCATTTTTAATTTATAAACAAAAAAATAAAATTATGTAAAAGACTTTAACAATATTCCAAAATTTTGTTTATGTATTATGTAGGTCCAACTTAATTTAATTTTTACATAGATTTCAAATTTAAAAATAAAAATAAAATACAAATTAGTAATCTTACATAATAATGTTTTTAAAAATTGTTACAAAAATACAAATTAATAAATTTTATATTAATATCATTATAAGTCATATAAAAATTATTATAAAATTGGATAGCATACAGAATCAAATTATACTTATTTATTAATAAATTTTATTATAAATTTCAAATATTTTTGTATTAAAATACCCGCACGGTTGTGCGGGTCGAAATCTAGTCTATTATATTAAAAGAGAAGTCATGACTCACTTTATGTATGATATTTAGTTTGGACCATCCTTAATATTTTATAAAATTTTACATAATATCATTATAATATCTTTTCATATTTTTAATTTTTATTTGAAATACAAATAAATAGTTTTAAGAAAATTTTAACAAAATCTTTTAAAAATCTTTTAGAATCTTTTCAAGATATAGTTTCAAAAATTATTTGATTAAAATTTTAATTATCATAAAATATAATTAAAATTTTAAGTCATTTTTTATTTATAAACAAAAAATTAAAATTATGTAAAATAATTTTAACAATATCCCAAATTTTTTTTTATGTATTAGTAGGTCCAACTTAATTTACTTTTTACATATATTTCAAATTTAGAAATAAAACAAAATATATAAATTAGTAATGTTACATAATAATGTTTAAAAAATTGTTACAAAAATACAATTTATAAATTTTATATTAATAATATTATAAGTCACATAAACCTTATTATAAAATTGGATAGTATACATAATCAAATTATATTTATTTATTGATAAATTTTATTATATAATTTAAAATATTTTCGTATTAAAATACCCGCACGGTTTTGCGGGTCGAAATCTAGTATATATTAAAATTTATAATTAATTGCATTTATTTGTTACCTGTTACTTTGTTTTTCAATAAATGTTGTATCACTTATATATTTGCACCTTAAATGTTGACACTCATATTTTATATTTAAATATTTATTCTATTTTTTTTTAAAAAATATTAGTTATGTTTGGAACATTATTTTAACAAATACAAGCAAAAAATCTAAGACCTAGATCTTGTAAGGGAGTAATGAAAATCTTAATTTCTGTGAACTTAATTAGGTTTAAATCTAAATATGTACGTATTTGTTCAAATCACTAAGAAAAAATCAATAATGTCTGGGCTTCTTCAAATTTCAAGTTTTAATTCTGCAAAATAAAATAGTGAAATTGCCACGATCCATTTAGATTCAAAATTGGACATCAGTTTGTACTTAAATGCCCGAAATCATTTACATTGGGGTTGGGGGTGGGGGAGGGAGGGGATAGGGTTGCTGAGGAAGTAAATTGATCATAAAGAAGGTAGATATAAAAATGAAAGAGAGAAATAAAAATAATAATTATTAATAGTTTAGTTAACTTGTTATATAATTTAATATTCTTTTCAAGAGTAATTCTTTTCACTTAATTGGCATACATTAACAAGGTTAATGCATCGGTGAGAAACTTTAGGGTTTCTTAAAAAAACTCGTAAGATTGTTAAGTAATAACAAATGACTAATGAGTGATGACAAATGTCATATGAATTTCTTTGAACTTTGATAATATCTATCAAATGAGACACAATATCTCTTTTTCCAATGAAATTGTAATTTTATTTATCTTTTAAAACACAAAGTCTGGACGCAAATATGAAATATTCAAAGAAAAGCAAAATCAATAGACAAAATTTTTAGAAAACAAATTATTACGTAAGTAGTTATTTCTTTTCTTATAAATTTTTTTTTTGTATTATCTTATTTTCACAAGCTCAGTTGAGAAATTTGATGTGGTCTTACTAAACACATGCATATACTTTATATACTTGTATATTCAAACAAAGAAGGACCGCATGTGTTTAATAGCTTAGAGCAACCCCAACCTTTAGTAAGACCACATCAAATTCTTGCAAAAAATGATCATAAAGAGATGGATTGATCATAATTTGCAGCAGAAACCTTTAGCTAATTGTCTCTTTAAAAAGAAAAAGATTTTATTACCATAATATGATAATACAAAATATACATTCATTGTCGGTTTAGTGTTACTGGGACAATTCATAATCGTATGATAAAGTTATTTTAAAAACTAAACACGGGAAAAACGTGCACATTGGAAAATAAATATCCACTTTCTCAAGGTCTCACTTTGCAACCCTGTGCTTATATATACATAACCCTAGGGTCGACTTTCCTGATATCATCTTAATAAATCAACTTGAGTTACATTAGGGACTTTATCATGAGTGTTATTAGCATGAAGGGTGGGGATGGAAAACACAGTTATGCAAATAATTCCGAGGCGCAGGTAAAGTACTTCCCCATAGTTTGTTCTATGAATCTGGTTTTGATACATATGAACCATATTGCATTTGGCAAACATCTATAATATATATAGCAAAATAATATACTATTAGATGATTTAATAACAAATTTCTGCTGGCAACACATGCGTTTTGTTTATCTGTTTTTAGGCAGTATAGGCTATTTTGGTTGGTTCAAAGTTTTTCATGTTCCGTATAAATGATTAACTTGACTTTCAACTTCTTATAGAAAAATATCTATTCCCAAGCAAAGCTGGCTGTGATCGAAAACGTAAAGGAAGTGATAGTGAAATTGGCCTTTCCTGGGTATATCAAAGTGGCCGACTTGGGGTGTTCTTCCGGAGAAAACACGTTCGTAGCTACGTCCGAAATCGTCAACACGATCATAGAATCATACCAACAAAAAGGACAAAACCCACCAGAGATAGATTGTTGTCTTAACGATCTTCCAGACAACGATTTCAACACTACCTTCAAATGGCTCCCTTCCTTCCACGAGAAGCTGAAGTTGGATGTCAAAGGAAAGTGCTTCATCTCAGGAGTCCCAGGCTCATTCTATTCAAGACTTTTCCCAAGCAAGTCTCTTCATTTTGTTCATTCATCTTTGAGTCTCCATTGGCTTTCTAAGGTCCCTGATGGGCTTGAGGAAAACAAGACGAATGTGTATCTTAGAAGTCCATGCCCTCCAAATGTGTACGAGAGTTATTTGACTCAGTTCAAGAATGATTTCTCGTTGTTTCTAAGAATGCGTGCGGAGGAGACAATGCCTAATGGACGTATGGTTCTCACTTTAGTGGGCAGGAAAGCTTTGGACCCTTTATCTAAAGATTGTTTCCAGAATTGGTCGTTGATATCTCATTCCCTCCTCGATTTGGTTTCTGAGGTACTTCCTTTAATTTCTTGATATAAGTTGTTTTACAATTCTTTTTTGTTTCAAAATATAAGTTATTTTGACATTTCTATATAATTTTTTTTTTATCTTCATTGAATATTGGGTAACTAATTAAATTTTGATCGGTTTTATCATCGGTTGAATTATAAGTTAGCTTATATATTAAATGGTATTATTTGAAAATAATATAGTTTCCATGTTAACTAAAACAACATATATTATGATCAAACCGATGAGTATTTGTTATGATGACTTCTAGATTTATTTTTGGCTTTTTTTTTTCAATTCTGAGTTTATATGTGTGAATGAACCACTTGTATGATACCCATTTAGATCGTAGTCTTAATTGTTTTTTGGTAACATTTTCCGTGCAGGGGTTAGTGAAGGAATCAGACGTGGAATCTTTCAACTTGCCGTTTTATAATCCTGATGAAAATGAGTTGCGTGAAGTTATTGAAAACGAGGGCTCTTTCAAGATCAAAAATTTTGAAACACTATTTGGTCTTCTTTTTTCAAACAAAACTAGTCGTACCGAAGTGAGAGATGATGATAATGTGGACCAATCATGTGTATTCGAAGTCATTGAAAAGAGAGCAAAAGTCATAAGATCCATTACTGAACCGATGCTTGCTGCTCATTTTGGAAGCGCCGTGATGGATCGTCTGTTCGATAAGTATACATACCATTTAAGCCAACATTACGATACTTTGCGCAACAAACCAACGGTTAATTTCTTTGTTTCATTGATCAGAAAGTAACATCCCTTTGAGTTGATGCTTCTAATAAAAAGACGAATTTAATGATCCTTTTATCAATAAGGCTAGCATAGCCACTGACAACTATTGTGATGCAGTTGTGTGATTTTTATATATTTAAATACAATAAATATTTGCATTTATCTGTTACCTATTAGTTTCTTTCTCCATAAATGCTGTGTCACTTATATATTTGCATCTTAAAGGTCCACACTCATATTTTATAATAAAATATTATTATAATTTTAAAACAAGTACATTAGTTAAGTTTAAAACATTATTTTAAGGGAGTAAGGAAAATTCTAATTTCTGTGAATTTTAATTAGGTTTAAATCTAAATACGTACGTATTTGTGAATTTCACATCATTCATATAAAAGTAATAAAGTCTGGGATTCAAAAACCTCAAGTTTTAATTCTGCCAAATAAAATAGTGAAGATTCCACTATCCATTTAGATTCAAAATTTTGGACATCAATTTTATGTTGTAGCAATGTAACTCTTTGGATCCAATTTATATTTAAAACGCCGAAATCATTTGCATTGAGAGTTTTAGGTCCATTTATATTTGACTTTTTTAATGCCCAAGACCTATAACCACATATTTTTCCTATCCAAATGAGTCGAGCTTCTTCGAAATCTTAAATAACTGTTTTTCAAACTTATCACAATCAAATTATATCCTATGTAATCGAAATAATACCTTTGCTGTAAAAAAAATCAGTAATAAGTATTAACAATTTAACAGTAGCTATATCAAAATTCCAAACCTAAAGTTTGAGACTTTTTTTTTGTTGCTAAAGGATTAAAGTTAGTAAGGAAGCGGAGCAAAAAAAATTGATCTTTCATACTAACTCAATAACTTATCCACATCATGTATTCTTCTTCAAGGTAAAATATTATTGTAGGCCAAGGAAATTAGGTTACCAATCGGGTTCAGTTCGGGTTTAATCGGATTTCGGTTTTTAGGTTTACAAATTTGAGCTTCATTCGGGTTTTATAAAAATTCAGGTTTAGTCGGGTTCCGTTCGAGTTCCTTCATCTATATATTACCCAAAAATATATGTTTCTAAATTTCTTCCTACATTTTTTCGTGAAAAACATAGCAGACAAAGCAAAACACAAGACCTATGGTACGAGTGAAACACATGCAATGGTTGAACTGAACATTACAAGTAATAGTAAGTTAGTGAAATCAGAGACCATATGCACGCTAATTACAAGCAAAGTAGGTGTATTTCCTTCTTTTTGCTAGTTTGTATACTGCATCTTCATACTGAACTTCATGTTCTTTACCAGCTCCATTGTTCTGTGAAGATGAATCCATCTGCAAAAGGAAAACCACAATATACAGAGGCAAACAAAACACAATTACATAACATGGTAATGTAATACATACAATGATACAATTTGAAAGAAACTTAGCACACGTAGCACCAAACAATAATGCATAATGAATACAATAATACTCTTTGAAAGTAACTTAAATCCTTGCTCATCACATGCATCTAACTAGCTCCAAAGACAATTTGATAAAGGAAACTTAGACAAAACACTATCAAACCAGAAAACAACTACTCAGCACATTATCTAAATAGCATCAAACAATAATGCATATGTGAGATATCAAACAGCATCCCACATTGAAAGTTTGGATAAAGAATGTATAATATATAAAGAGAAATCCAACTCTAATTAATATGAAGTCTTTTGGGAAGAAATCCTAAAGTAAATTGCGAACCAGTCTCTTAGGCCAAAATAGACAATATTGTACTAATTGGACGATAAAGAGTTGGACATGGACTTTAACAATCGCAACAACATATATGGTGAAGGAAATAGTTTTAAAACATTTTCTAGAAGCATATTGATACAATTTTAGCCCGAAAACTATTCAAAAAAACATATTAAACACTATCAAACCAAAATATTTAACACAAAGCACGAATTAGGGTTTCAAATTCTAAATAGAAAAGAGAATCGATGAGAATGTCAGTGAATCAAATTAAGGAATTGATTTCTGTGACGATAGTTAGGGACAATGAGATTTCACGGCTTGATAGTTGAAGTTTGGCAGAGAATACCTATGTAATTGAATAAGGATATGAAATATATAATGAGGGTTGGGCAAACAATGATTACATAAGATTGGGTTTCAGTTATAAGCATTTGCGTTTTCGGTTTAAACCCGACCAGATCTGAAACCTATTATACCAGAAAATCAGATCTAATTGGGTATTGACAAAGATCCGAATCTAACCTGAACTGGCTTAATCGGACCGGATTCAGTTTGGATTTTTGGATCTGGATTATTTGCTAAGTCCTAGATTATTTATGTTTTAACTAGGTCTTACTATGTGACTTTCTCCGTATATTTAGGAACCAAATCTCGATGTATGACCAAATAAAGCTCTATTATCCAAAATAGGCAAAGCTTGATTATTTGTGAAAACCGTTAGAATGTTTTTTTTAGGTACAGAAACTTCAAACTTTTGTTGATCAGCTCATTTCAGTTCTGAGTGTTATCCAATGAAACCCAAAACGGCATGTATCAATCTCATATTGTTTGTCTTTTAATAAAGAGCTACATCTAATTTATGTATTTGTTATAGTTATAATATATACATAATTGTAAATTGCAAAATAAGAAATATTGGAGGGGAAAGTAGGAGAGATTAAACGAAATATACGAACATAAAACTAGAAAATATTATCGTATGTATTGTACATTGAATGAATACGTTCCCCTATATATAGTAAAATTGACAAATTTTAAATATAATAATATGAGCTCCATTATTATTTACATACGCAAGTGTTTTTTTTTTAATTTTTGCAATACTTTTTCTTGGAACCCGTTGTCATTTCTGTTTTGTGTTGTGTGTAAAATACAGGAAATACCAACCTGAATCGGTAGGAACTAGGGTTCAGAATAAAATAATTTTTGTTTCTATATCCCATTTCATAAAGTATAAACGTTGATGGAATGGTCTACAACTGCAAGAGGCGATAGCTAGGCACCATAACTTTATGGTATCTGGCAATTCCACTTGAAAATAAACCTCTGCATAAAATGATAAGGTATCCCAAAACGACTAACCCCTGGTCGTTTCATTAGTTGACTATAAACAAATGCAGTAAGGTTTGGCTAGTATTGGTTGATTAGTGGTTACCTTGTATCTCTCAGGTGACATGCAATTGCATGTATATCCAAAACCATTTTATTATGAATGTAAAATATGCAAATATTCAATTTAAACGAGTTATATTCTATTAATAAACAAAAGAAAAGCATAAACTCAAAAAAGGAAAAAGAAAGAAGGAAGACTGATGCAAAACAACAAAAAGATAGAGTACGTAGCTATTATTTCTCGTAATAGGTCGAACCAACTGATTTTTTATAATACTTGTGAAGACTAATCGTCGCACCAAACTCAAGTCTAAGTCTAAGAAAATTAAAATTGAGCTACCCACACATGACTTACTCGTTTGGTCTTTTAAAAACAAATGAAATTAATCTATATATATTTTCAACGAAGAAACCATGTGATCTTTATAAACTAAGAGCCAAGTTCGCTTGATTAGTTTGGTCAATTGTATTTTCCAAATTGCTTTCATATTGTTGACGCTGCTTTCATATAAAAGAAGCATATCGCTTATCCCAATCCTGTTATAGATTAAACAAACAAAGAATAGCAGCACTACTTTAAGAAACCGATTGAAAGTTTTCTCCACATCATGTCTTCTTCACGGTAAAACATTTATTTTCTTATGTTCTTTAATTTTCTGTGTGGATGTGTGTGGGTTTTGACATTCTTTTATGTTTTTGTATCAATAAATACTAGCTAGTTAAATTGGTACATAATTATAGTCATAACGTAATTACTTTTCTGTATCATTTGTGTTAATGTATTTGTGGTTCTAAGATCTTGGTTTTGTTATAACCTCTCTATCTATATAACAGGAACTCCTTGACGAACGTTGTAAGCATGAAAGGAGGCGATGGAGAACATAGTTATGCTAATAATTCTGGTCATCAGGTTTATTCCTAATCATCTAGCTATGATAAATTAACTAGGACTAGAGCATGGATCTACAAAAATATAAATTAACCAAGTATATATTTGACTTTGTAGAAAACGGTTTTCTCTAAAGCACAAACAATCGTGGAAGAGAATATTAGAGAAACATTATTGAATTTGGGTTTCCCTGAATCCATTAAAGTGGCTGAATTGGGCTGTTCTTCCGGAGAAAACACTTTCTTGGCGATGTCTGAAATCGTCAACACGATCATAGCTTCGTACCAAGAAACCAGTCGAAACCCACCAGAAATTGATTGTTGTCTAAACGATCTTCCAAATAATGACTTCAATATGACGTTCAAGTGGGCCACTTCCTTCAAGGAGAATCTAAAGATGGATGTTAAGGGAAGGTGCTTCATCTCAGGAGTCCCCGGTTCTTTTTACTCGAGGCTCTTCCCAAACAAATCTCTTCATTTTGTTCATTCAGCTTGTAGTCTTCATTGGCTCTCTAAGGTCCCTGAAGGGCTTGAAGATAACAAGAAGAATGTGTATATTAGAAACCCTTGCCCTCTAAGTGTGTCCAAAAGTTACTTGGATCAGTTTCAAAAGGATTTCTCGTTATTTTTAAAAATGCGTTCTGAAGAAGTGGTGTCTAATGGACGCATGGTTCTCATATTCAAAGGCCGAAATTCTTCTGATCCTCTTTATAGAGAGAGCTGCCATTATTGGTCGTTGTTGACTGATTCCCTCCTCGATTTAGTCTCTGAGGTAATCATTAAAACTATATATATCGAAGTCCATATTTCAATGTATACCAGTTGATAATAAGTAGAGAGTACCATGCATCTTTATATACAAAATTACCTTATTGTAAGATATTCCCTATATATCTATGTTGTGATAAACAAAAAAACTATTATCTTACATATATATAACTTAAAATAAACTAAGCAAATGCTAAAAAAAAAAGTTAGGGTATCCATTGATAACCCTAGAATTATAGGTTTGCTTTAAGGTTTTTTCGGATTTTTCATAGTAGGATTTTTATGGACAGTTTCCATGTTTGGTATAGGATATGTTTTTTTTATCATGACAACATCTCTACCAACCATGCATCTTACATACTAAATTATAGCTTAGTGTAAGATTTTTTTATATATGTGTTGTAACTTGCGACTTGTGAGTGTAGGGAATTGTCAAGGAATCAGATGTGGATTCATTCAACTTGCCGTTTTACGATGCGGGTGAGGAAGAGGTCAGGGAAGTTGTCGGAAAAGAAGGATCATTTGAGATTAATAACATCGAGACACATGAACATGTAGTTCCATACAAAGATAGTGAGGAAGATGACGATGAAACATGTCGATTAAAGTTTGGGGAAATGATGGCAAGCAGAAAAAGATCCATCACTGAGCCAATGTTGGTTGCCCATTTCGGAGATGCTGTCATCGATCGTCTGTTTGAGAAGTACGCACACAACGCAGCCCGGTACTACATTGTTTCAAGAAGCTGCAACAAAACGACCGTCAACTTTGTCGTATCCTTGACTAGAAAGTAAAAGGTTATGTATTGCTGCTGTTAATATATTACCAGTAAGTTTAAGTTTCATGCTCTTATTCGACCTCAGTCTACGCCGTCCTGTTTTATATGCTTTATTTTCTCCTTTGTCTATATATATATATGTTTGGGCCAGGTTTGTCTCTTATAATTTTAAAGATTCAAATAAAATTGTATTCTGATAAAATCGAAATGGCTGTAATTAGTTTTATCACAGATAAACAATATTTGTATGTGACTTATGTGTTGTCTTGCCGTGTACCATTGATCTACGCTAGACCGCATATTCTTTTTCTCTCTTTGAAATCTACCAAAAACGTATAAATTATTTGCAAAATAAATACAAGTCTACCAAAAAAGATCCCCCAGAATGTCCAAATTATATAGACTTTGGAAATCTACTAAAAAGTATAAAAATATTTGCAAAATAAACATAAGTCTACCTAAAAAAGATTAATTTGCTAATAGACTTTTGAAATCTACCAAAAACGAGTAGTCAGCTTTTTTTTTGGTTCAACACGAGTAGATTCATCTCAAAGTTAACATAAATCTGCTTTTCATTTGCAACATTCGCTGATGCTATTTTCGAAAGTATGGCATCCATTTTCCCTTTTTGGTTTTTGATGGTCACTGTTTTGGTAATTTTCCAGAATTGAATCAAACTAAAATAATACAAAATGAGATGCATTTAATCTTAACTTGTTTTCTGAGAGAATAAAAATTTGAGGAAACATAGGATTTTGTAAAAAAAAAACAAAGGATTTGTGGTCTTGAACCAAAGCAAGTAGCCATCATTTTCTTTGTTAACGAAACTTTTTTCTTTTCAAAGTTCAAGAAAAAAAATTCCTTTTCTTTGATTTCTATTTTAGTTCAGTTTCTTTACCGCATTTTTGTGTTATTTCCATATACTGTATGGTGTGTTTTTCTTTCTTTACTTTTTGTCCAGTAGATGTTTTTGGAGTTTTCATGTTAAGTATAAACAGAGCTCTTTGCTAAGGCTCACGACTTAGACCAAAAACAAAAGAGAGTCACTGTTATAAATTATACTGTGGATTAGTATATCCGAACCAGAACCGGCACCGGAATCGTACCGGATTGGCCCATTAGAGGTTCTTATATCAGCTAGTATTCCTAATCCATGATTAGGAATTGGTGATTTTCCTATTCTATGTTGTATTAGGATTTGTACAATTTCTTTTTTCTTATTGATTTAGATTTATTTTTCTAGGAACTTGTAACTCTCTATATAGAGGCACTTTTGTTTATGAATAAAGCACATCAAACTCCCCTTTACTTCTCTACTTTTACAACCCTCACGACTTTTTCGTTTAAAAAGATTTGTGAGTTCCTTCATCTACCTTGATACTCGGCGCGAGAACTACAGAGACAAGAACACCTTCTAGTTCACAACTGTGAAGAAGAAACTTTTCTTCTCACCCAAGTAACTAAACAACCCTAGAGCAACCAAACTCCTTCATCAAGTTTTTTCAGATCCGATCTCAATGGCACTAACGGCACTAACATCCCGTTCTTTTCCAGTTAGCTTTCCTATGGATACCGGTAGAAACACGATATTCGGAAGACCAAAACAACCTCGAGTTGTTTCAATCCGTCGTGCTGCAAATTATCCAAACATATTTGCAAAAATCCTAGAAAAAACCGAGTCCATGGGAGTTCCAGTTCCAACGGTTCTAACCACCGCAGCTTCGGTGGCCGAAACTGCAATGTTGGCTCGATCTTTAGCCCAAAACTATTTGCCTCCTGAAGTGCGACATTACATCTCTTATGAAGTCCGCAGCTTCGTTAAACGCTCCATGGTTCATTACTTTAGTTCCTCTCACATGACAATAACCATCGAAGAGTTTGAAGGGTATAGACACAACGAAGTTTTTGATGCTGCAAAGGCTTATGTAGCCACCAAGATCTCTCAATCCAACAAAAGAATCAAAGTTAGTAAACACGAGAAAGAAAACAACTACAACGTCTCCGTAGAACGTGATGAACAAGTTGTGGACGTTTTCAACGGCGTCCAGTTCCAATGGGTCCTCCGTTGCCAACATGTTGGGTCAAAGAATCAGTACTCAAAAGCCGGGTCCAATGTCAGATCATTCCAGCTCAGCTTCGACAAGAGATTCAAAGACACAGCTCTTGAATCTTACTTGCCATTTATGGTGAAAAGATACACGTCAATGAAGCAAGAGAAGAGGAAACTCAAGCTATTTACTCTCGACGCAGGTTCTTGGTATTCAGACAACTGGACATCTGTTACTCTTGACCATCCTTCTACTTTCAAGACATTAGCAATGGATGCTGATGTCAAGAGAAGTGTGATGGAAGATCTTGACAAGTTTGTGAAGCGCAGCGAGTACTATAAGAGAGTTGGTAAGGCTTGGAAGAGAGGGTACTTGCTATATGGGCCACCAGGGACAGGGAAGTCTAGCTTGATCGCAGCCATGGCTAACCATCTCAACTTCGATATTTATGACTTGGAGTTGACTGCTGTTAGAGACAATTCTGAGCTGAGAAGATTGCTGATTGACACTGGTAATCGTTCAATTCTTGTGGTGGAAGATATTGATTGTTCCATCGAGTTGAATAACAGGACAACTGATGATGAACCAAAAAGAAACAAGAAAGTGACACTCTCTGGACTACTGAACTTCACTGATGGTTTATGGTCAAGCTGCGGGGACGAAAGGATCATAATATTCACAACTAATTACAAAGAGAGACTAGACCCGGCCATGTTGAGGCCAGGACGTATGGATGTGCACATTCACATGTCGTATTGCACGCCGAGTACTTTCAGGGCTCTTGCTTTGAACTATCTAGAGATCAAAGAGCACCCTCTTTTCAGCAAGATCGAGGAAGGTGTTGTAGCGACAGAGGTTACTCCAGCAGATGTAGCTGAACAGCTTATGAGGAATGAGTCTGTTGATAGTATTCTTGAGGGGTTGGTTGAGTTCTTGAAAGCCAAGAAGATCAAGAACGTACTAGATAAAGCCAAAACAGAGGAGGAGGATTTGAAGAACCAACTAAAAGAGTCGGAGAACAAGAAAAAGACCACTAAGGGGAAAGATTCAAAGGTCAAGAAAAATGGAAGAGGTTGATGAACACTTATATGAGGAATGATCTTTTCACATCTTGTTCTGTCTATTTTTATTTTATTTTATTGAAGAAGATATTTTCTACCATAATTTGTTTTGGGTTTATGTTAACTAAACCTCTGAATAAAATCTCACAGTTTCGATTCTGTTTTCTAGCTTTTTCTGAAGCCAAACACAAGTTAATGTTTATGTAGCAGCAACAATAAATTTGGTGTGTTACACATAGCAACATACAATACGAAGCTTCCTTACCTAATAAACATAAACAAAGGAGCAACAGGCAAAACAGAGACAAGAAGCAATACTAATCTGTGATCAATGATCAGTATGAAGGATCTAATAAATGTTTTGAGAAGTCCTCACGTAGCCGAAGAAAATAAGATCAGCTGCCTCAATCAGGACAGGATTAAAAAGTGCGTCCTAGCTAGAGGAGTTTCGTTTGTGAAACTTCAAGGATCATTCAAAGTGTATTCTTGATTTTATTTAGGGTTTTTGTCTGTTTGTTACAAACACACAATCCACATTTTCTACTAACCCGTTTTTCTTCTTCTATTTATCTTTCCACAGTCCATTAAATAAAAGTTCACTAATTCTTTTGTGTAGTGAAACCTGACAAAAATGTTGGCCACTGGAAGGGTAGCAAAAGAAAAGGAAATATCCCAAAGTACAAGGCGTGTTGCCAATCAAGGAAAGGCAACGGTGCTTGCTCTCGGTAAGGCCTTCCCCAGCAATGTAGTCTCTCAAGAGAATCTCGTGGAGGAGTATCTCCGTGAAATCAAATGCGATGACCCCTCTATCAAAGAGAAGCTGCAACACTTGTGTAACATTCATCATTTTCCATCTGCGTTCACCCTTTGTATGTATGTATATATAAAATGTGATATGGGTTGGTGCATGGTGTTAGGTAAAACCACAACTGTGAAGACACGCTACACGGTCATGTCTAGCGAGACGATGCAGAAATACCCTGAGCTAGCAACGGAGGGTTCCCCAACCATCAAACAGAGGCTAGAGATCGCAAACGAGGCGGTTGTGAAGATGGCATATGAAGCGAGCTTGGCTTGCATCAAGGAATGGGGAAGGGGAGTGGAAGATATCACTCATCTTGTCTATGTATCCTCCAGTGAGTTCCGTTTGCCCGGGGGCGACCTTTACCTCTCGGCACAACTGGGACTTAACAAGGAGGTGCAGAGGGTGATGTTTTATTTTCTGGGATGCTACGGAGGTGTGAGTGGGATGCGCGTGGCCAAGGACATCGCTGAGAACAACCCGGGGAGCCGGGTGCTGCTCACCACCTCTGAGACTATGGTTCTGGGATTCCGTCCCCCCAACAAAGCTCGCCCTTACGACTTAGTCGGGGCTGCTCTCTTTGGAGACGGAGCAGCTGCCCTCATCATCGGAGCAGACCCTACAGAGTCAGAAAGTCCCTTCATGGAGCTTCACTATGCGCTGCAGCAGTTTCTACCGGGAACGCAGGGGGTGATTGAGGGACGGTTGTCAGAGGAAGGCGTAAGCTTCAAGCTAGGAAGAGAACTAGCTCAGAAAATCGAAGACAACATAGAGGAGTTTTGCAAGAAGCTGGTAGCAAAGGCTGGCTCTGGTTCATTGGAGTTCAATGACCTGTTCTGGGCCGTTCATCCAGGTGGGCCGGCCATTCTGAACGGGCTAGAGTCGAAACTGAAGCTGAAATCGGACAAGTTGGAATGCAGCAGACAGGCGTTGATGGATTATGGGAACGCAAGCAGCAACACCATCTTCTACATAATGGACAAAGTAAGAGCTGAGCTTGAGAAGAAAGGCAGAGGTAAAGGAGAGTGGGGACTGGGTTTAGCCTTCGGACCTGGAATTACCTTCGAGGGATTTCTCATGAGGAGCCTTTAAATCTGGCTATGGACCATATGTATGTGATTAACTAGAAATAAATACAGATATATTAAACATTATCTTTTGCTTTCGAATAAATATTTTAATATTATTTAAAACATCAATTTAGCGTGACAATAATTGTTATGACCAAACAAAAACTTGAAAGTACATTTACGATTATAATATAGAGAAGTCTACACAATGGCGGAGCCAGAAATATTTTTGATCGGGGTCATAATATAAATTTCATATTTGAATTAGATATATATATACATATTATAATAACAAATTATTTTTTACAAACTAATGGAATCATATGAAAATTTTTACATAAATTAGTGGGGTCAAATATCAAATTTTAACTAAATATTACAATAATATTTAAAAAATATACACTAAATTTTTTTTTTCCCCAATTGTAGTGGGGTCAAGTGACCCCATATGCCACTCTCTACCTCCGCCCCTGAGTCTACACGAAAAACCGAAGTCTCTTGAAAATGTATGTTTAGAAATTAATAGTATAACTAATTTATAAAATTGTGTTATGTAAATGTAAATAATTATTAATCATCTAAATTATTTAATAAAATTAAATATTTGTTAGAATTAGTTAACATATATTCAAGTAATGTTTGTATTATAGGGTTAGGTTATAAAATTTTAAATATACTATTTGAAATATTACTTTTTCATATAAGTGTAAATTTAATTTGTATATATTAAGCAGGTTGATTTGATAGAGTACAGTTTATTGCTATCTTGTTCAAATATTTTATTTTAGAGTATGGAGTTAGAAAACTTGTTAAAGAAATATTCCAACAAGTTCGAATTAGCAAAAAAATGTCTCTTTATATAATATTGATTTCAAACATTCATGATATTTTGATGTGAATGAGCCAAAATAGTAAGCTTAGGGTTAGTGGATTCATAAAGAAAGTCTACCATATCAAAAATTATTTACGTAACCGTGAATTCTATCTTCAATTTAAATATAACCAAATTTAATCATAAACTTTTACCAAAAAAAAAATAATTTACTTAAAATTCATGAAGTCTACTTACTCATGGAAATCTACACAAATAGGTTTCCTACGAAGTCATCTACACCATGATTCATGAAGTCTTCTACACCAAAAACTTTTAAAATAATTAAGATTTTTGTCATCTTATATAAATAATTTTTACATGTTTTATTTCTCTCAATGGCTTCAACAACAATTTAACATTTCTTTATCTAAAAATTTCTAATCTATTTGAAATTGAGGACATTTGTATCAATTGCTTATTTCTTTGTCCCATGTCTTTTCACAGTTTATCTTGTTTTATAGATTTTTCATTTCGTGGTTTTTGTATCCTCCTCCTAAAAATATATATTATAGATTTTAGATGTGTATTTTTGTGTGCATTAAATTTGAACAAAACTATGAATTCAACTTAAATGGAACTATTTCGCAGGTTTCTTCAGAAAATCACCTAACACTAAACTCTAAAATCGAATAATTGAACTAAGTATCAATACGCTTTTAAAGTGTTTAATGTATACAAAATTGAACACTTATATGATAAATTAACATTTCAAAAGATGTTTAATAATCCAAATCTAATCCTGAAAGTACAATATTACTTGGACGTATATTAGCAAACTCTAAACCAATTCATGAACATAATTTACAATCTATATTCTTTAATCAAATAGTTGTTCAAATTTTTTTAACTTTTTATTTACAAGATTCAAAATTGTTTATGTATACATTATTTAAATTTATTTTCCATTGAATAATTTATCAAATTTTATAATTTAACTATAAGATTAAGGTCATATATATTTCTTCTCTTCTCAAGAAATCTTCTCAGAAGATTCATTGTTTCCTGTAGATTTTGTAAGGGTATAATCATAAAAAAAATTGTCATAAAAAGATAATTATAATTTCAGTACACATTTATGTTATTTTTGTTTTTGATTGAATATGTGGTATATATTTTCATTTAATTCTATATATCTGATTATTTTGGAAAATTCTCGTAAAATAGTTGTAGCTCAATTCAGAAGAATTGTAAGAATTTAATATGCTTAAAATGAATAACCAAATTGGTCTGAATTCTTATACCTAAACTTATACCAGGGTCATAAAAATGATATTTTACTAAATTTCCATATATATATTATACTCATTTTATAAATTCAAAAAAAAAGAGTTAATGAAATATATGATTTATATATATATATACATATATATATTCATGAGCTTTAAAAATATTTCAGGTTATATTTTCCATGCAATTCCAATTTATTAAATCTTCATTGTTTTATTTTTACTTTTTTCTTAAAATTACATCTATAAAATTTTAAAGTTGTAAAATATAGAGTTTTAATATAACGTGATGAACCAAACTAAATGAAATTTAAAAATATGATTTTATTATAATTATAATCATAATAAATTATAGTTCAATTGGGAAGAATTGATGCAAACCGAATAACCGACAAAGAATAATTGAACGGTCCAGATTATTATACTCAAATCACATTTTTAATCAGGATAAGAAAATAATGTAATTTAATATTCTATTTAGGTTTCATACAGAAATTATAAAATAAGTTAATAGTTATAAAAATGAACCTGAAAATTAACTAACCATTATGATTTTATATTTTGTAAATATTTATATTTGTGCATGAGTAATGAAGAATTACTCCAGGTCTCTCACAAAATCTCTAGCAGATTAAAAATTAATTAAAGAAGAAAGAGAAATGAACATATATAATTAGCAAGTAAACATACTTAACATGATTCATCAAAACCAACTGGGCTAGTAGGTTAGCTTAAAGAATTGATTCCGTTGTAGCCTAGTTCAACTTCCATTGAGATTGATGTTCTGCGTCGTGTCATGAGACCTTTGGTTGATTCCATACATAGAGAGAGATTAGGACGACCGAGTTCAGACTCCTCCCACTAAAAAAAATTTATCAAAACAAACTTTGTATCCACATGTGTTAACGTCCTCACGTTTAATAAAGCTGTCAAGAGAACATTCAACAGCTATTAAGCAGCGCTTTAACTGAAGGGACCTAGGCTATATATATAGTTAAGTAGTCAAGTATATGTCCCCACTCCTCCATTGCTACAAAAAGTTTTTACATAATAAAAAAGAGAACATCTCAACAACATAAGATCCTCTAAATTTGATAATAGCAATATATACACACAACTCAGCTTCCGGATGAGCCAGCGTGTTCCAAACTACCACATCGATGATACTCCGGCGGCCACCGTCCATCCCACTAAAGCTGCAGATATCCCCACGTACGTCGGAGTCAGACTCCAGTTGTCTGAAGACCTAACAGACCGTTCTTATAATAGTACTATTAGAGATAAGCACATTAGAGTACGAACTCATTTTTATTTTAGAGTTATTCTATTATAAACAAAAAAAAAATAGAAATGAATTTAAGATGATCAAATGAGTTTTCTAATAGTATATGATATATATTATATACAACTAATTTATGTAATTAAATTTTAAATCATACAAGAATTTTAACAAATAATATAAAGGTATATGTCACCTAAGTTTTTTTAATAGGTTTTAATCATATTTCTTTTGAGAAATTATCTCTCATCCTCTCTCCTCTTTCCTATCTTTTACTTTCCAGGATAGATACTCAAAGCCATTCGACTGATGGGGATGCTTCTTCTTTTGTTTTGTCAACACAACTGATGGGGATGGGGATCAGACATGGAATCGTTTAACTTGCCATTGTTCAATCGGGATGAGGGAGAGGTTAGGGAGATTCTTCTCTGCATTATATTTACAATGACGTTATTTCTTTCAAAGAAAGAAATGTATTTCTTAATCTTTATGTTTCTAAACACTTTTATTTACTGTTGCTATAATATGTTAATATAATATAGAAATATTTTCGTTCTCATATATTTATTGTTTCTGGTCGACAGATTTTTTTTAAAAAAATTATTGTTACCATAATATGACAATACAAAATATACACATTGTCGATTATTTCTTGTTACTGGTCGGGTGGTAACCACGAGTTCTAGCGTCGCTAAGCTAGAGGAGTTCGAATCCGTCTACATTCAGATATCTCTAATGTATGGCCATCGGTGATTTAACAATCCTTCGCCCAGGAGCGGTTTACCGTTTTTGTTATTTATTGTTACTGGGACAATTCATAACTCATAACTGTATGATGGCGACAAATGAAATTATTGTAAAAACTAAACATGGAAAAAACGTGCACATTGGAAAATAAATATCTAGTCTTTCTCTTTCTCAAAGAAAAAAAAAAAAAAATCTAGTCTTTCTCAAGGTCTCACTTTGCAACCCTCTTGTGCTTATATATACAACCATAGGGTCGACTTTCCTGATATTATTTTAATAAATCAACTTGGGTTACATTAGGGACTTCATCATGAGTGTTATTAGCATGAAGGGTGGGGATGGAAAACACAGTTATGCAAATAATTCCGAGGCGCAGGTAACGTACTACTCCATAGTTTGTTCTATGAATCTGGTTTTGATACATATGAACCATATTGCATTTGGCAAACATTTAAACATCTATAACATATAGCAAATCAAGATAATACTAGATGATTTAATAGCAAATCAAGATAATACTAGATGATTCAATAGCAAATCAATGCGTTTTGTTTCTCTCTTTTTAGGCATTATAGGCTATTTTGGTTGGTTCGGAGTTTTTCATGTTCCGTAGGAATGATTAACTTCTTTTTTTGTGCATCAAATGCTTCATTAATAAGTTTAAGCAATTACAAGATTAGAAGCAACAGCGTACAAACCGGAAAGTATTCTAATATACCCCAGTTGGAAAATAATTATTCTCACTACCCCACCATTTTTCTCACTGCCCCCTTTTTTTTTTGTTCGTAGTAGTTTCTAGTAATTCAAGGTAGTTTGTTTTTTGTTCATAGTAGTTTCTAGTAATTCAAGATAGTTTCTAGTAATTCAAGGTAGTTTCTATTAATTCATATTACATATAATACTAATTCATTAAGGATTATTAATTTTTTAATCGCATTTTGATTTTGAGAAAGAAAAAAAAAATCAAATTTATGATGGGTTAAAATAGAATGAAGATGGGAGTGAGTGGGGCAATATAGAATAAAGTCCGTACAAACCACGATCTAAATCCAAATAACTAACTCCCAAAAATATAAAATATCAGAGAACAGGGATAGAGACCCAAACTTAAAGAAGCTTGATAAAGTGTTATGCAAGATGAATGATTAACTTGACTTTCAACTTTTTATAGAAAAATATCAATGCCCTTGCAAAGCTGGCTGTGGTCGAAAACGTAAAAGAAGTGATAGTGAAATTGGGTTTTCCTGGGTATATCAAAGTGGCCGACTTGGGGTGTTCTTCCGGAGAAAACACGTTTGTAGCTACGTCCGAAATCGTCAACACGATCGTAGAATCATACCAACAAAAAGGACAAAACCCACCAGAGATAGATTGTTGTCTTAACGATCTTCCAGACAACGATTTCAACACTACCTTCAAATTGCTCCCTTCCTTCCACGAGAAGCTGCAGTTGGATGTCAAAGGAAAGTGCTTCGTCTCAGGAGTCCCAGGCTCATTCTATTCAAGACTTTTCCCAAGCAAATCTCTCCATTTTGTTCATTCATCTTTTAGTCTCCATTGGCTTTCTAAGGTCCCTGATGGGCTTGAGGAAAACAAGACGAATGTGTATCTTAGAAGTCCATGCCCTCCAAATGTGTACGAGAGTTATTTGACTCAATTCAAAAATGATTTCTCATTGTTTCTAAGAATGCGTGCGGAGGAGACAATGCCTAATGGACGTATGGTTCTCACTTTAGTGGGCAGGAAAGCTTTGAACCCTTTATCAAAAGATTGTTTCCAGAATTGGTCGTTGATATCTTATTCCCTCCTCGATTTGGTTTCTGAGGTACTTCCTATTTTCTTGATATAAGTTGTTTTACAATTTTTTTTGTTTCAAAATATAAGTTATTTTGACTTAACTAATAAAATTTTGAAGGTTTTTTTATCATCGGTTGAACTATGTTTTAGCTTATATATTAAATGGTATTATTTGAAAACAACATAGTTTCCATGCAGAGCCGGCCTTTGACACAAGCCAAGGAAGCAGTGACTTGCGACTGTATTATTATAAAGAAATATTCGGCCACATTCTTATTTGCCATATAGCCAAGAAAAAACATAAATTAGATTTTTTGAGAGATAGTAGAGAGAGATATAGAGAGAAAGTAGGAGAGAGAAGATGATTCTGGTTAGTTAGTGAATTTGTATTTTTTTTTATGGCTATTAGGTCTAATTTCTCTTTTAACAAAAATCACCTTTAGTGTAGTGGTAAAATTTCAAGGGAACAAACTTGATCTGCAGAACTTAGGTTCGAGTTTCAAAAGTACGGCCTTTTTAAAAAAATTTGCGTATTTTCTTAGATTTCCTAGGACCGGCACTACATGTTAACTAAAACAACATATATTATGAAACCGATGAAGCATTTGTTATGATGACTTTTAGATTTTTTTTTTGGCATATTTTTTTCAAATCTAAGTTTATGTGTGAATGAACCACTTGTATGATATCCATTTAGACCGTCGTTTTAATTTTTTTTTTTGTAACATTTCCGTGCAGGGGTTAGTGAAGGAATCTGATGTTGGATCTTTTAACTTGCCATTTTATAATCCTGACGAAAACGAGTTGAGTGAAGTTATCGAAAACGAGGGCTCTTTCAAGATCAACAATTTTGAGACACTATTTGGTCTTCTTTTTTCAAACAAAACTAGTCATACCGAAGTGAAAGATGATGAAAATGTGGACCAATCATATGTATTTGAAGTTGTTAAAAAGAGAGCAAAAGCCATAAGATCCATTACTGAACCGATGCTTGCTGCTCATTTTGGAAGCGCCATGATGGATCGTCTGTTCGAAAAGTATACATACCATTTAGGTCAACATTACGATACTTTGCGCAACAAACCAACAGTTAATTTCTTTGTTTCGTTGATCAGGAAGTAACATCCCTTCGAGTTGATGCTTCTAATAAAAGATGAAATAAAAAAAGGAGAATTTAATGATCCTTTTTATCAATAAGGCTAGCATAGCCATATTGTCAATTATTGTGATGAGTGCCAGTTGTCTGATTTTTATATATTTAAATTATTTGGATATATTATAATTATATAATAGTTATGTACTAAGATTGTAAATATCCATTAATTGTTTTAGGATTTGTATATGTAATTTAGAGATCACGTCGCAAAGGTTAACAAAAAATAATAAAGAAATTACATATTTTTTATGGTATCAGAGCAAAAGTTAGATTTCTTGTTTTATGGATTCGCGGAAAACGATTATTGATTTTGAGTATTGTTTACAGCGGTACTATTCACGATGGTACTATTCATCGGCACTGTTCATGGCGGTAATGTTCACGACAATACTGTTCAATGGATACTGTTCACGGCTGTACTGTTTATCGGTTAGTATTCATCGATTACTGTTCACGGTACTGTTCATCAATACTGTTTGTGGGCACTGTTCATCGACTTCGGATTTGTTGATTTTGAGATTATTTGGATCTGTTGATTTTTGTTTGGTTAGTGTATGATGGAAGAAAATACTTTTGATAATAATATATTTACAGAAAGCAATCTACGAGATGTTGAAAAAAAGTTGCGAAAGACGCTTTACTGAGACAAAGGAGTTCAATGACACACACACCGGTTATATCACACACAGTTACGATGCAGATTAATTCTCATGCCAAACTTGGTTGAAGAAAGAGCAATGGGAACAAATTTTGGGTGGTTCTTTTTTAAAATGAGAATTAGCTAATTTTTCCAGTGAAAAATGATTCATGGATAAGTGGATAATTGATAGTGGAGCGTCATATCATATGACAGGTACGTTGAGCTCTCTTGTTGATGTCTACAGAGTCTCACCATGCTTGGTTGGATTACCTAACGTAAAGAGTTTATTTACTGACCGAGAAGGAAGTATTGTTTTGACAGAGAAGTTGAGGTTGACACAAGTTCTTTCTGTGGAAGATTTGAAGTGTAGTCTTATTTTTGTGTCATAGTTGATTGATGAGTTGAGTTGACTTGTATTGTTTTCAAAGACAGGATGTCTTCTATATAATATTGGTGTGCAGATGGTGACTGGAATGGGCGAAAGAAGAGAAAGACTGTATTTTCTTCAAGATATTAAATATCTTCAAAGTGTTAGAAGAGAGGCTAAGGTGAAATCCTTAGAAGTTTGGCATAGGAAGATGGGACATGCCCCTGAAAAGGTAATTATGAAGTTACCTGGTGTTGATAGTTGAAGTAATGGATTATCTGGATATGACATATGCTTCAAAGTGAAGAAATGTCAAAGTGAGTTTCCGTTGAGTTCGAGCAAAAGTAAAGAGTGCTTTGCGATGATATATTGTGATTTATGGGGTCAGTATCAGACACCTAGCTTGAATGGGTTTTTTTTTTACTTCCTTACAATTGTGGATGATTATTCTAGAGTTGTTTGGTTATTTCTTCTTGTGGACAAGACTCGATTTGAAAGAACTATAATGAATTTCTTTGCTTTAGTTCAGAGACAATTTAATAAGTAGGTGAAGATAGTACAAAGTGATAATGGCAGTGAGTTCTTGAAGATGAGAGACTACTTTTATAGATTAGGAGTGATCATCAGACATCGTGAGTGGGTACACCTCAGCAGAATGGAAGAGTTGAGAGGAAACATAGGCATATACTGAATGTGGCGCAAGTTTTGAGGTTTCAAGCGAGTTTCCTATAGATTTCTGGGGTCAGTGTGGGTTGGGTGCATCACATTTAATCAATAGGATCCGTGTGAGATACATAAAAGAAGAAGCCTTTATGGGATGTTGTTTGGTAAGGCTCCTACATATAGTCATATACGGATTTTTGGATGTCTTGCATACGCTCACAGTCAGAAGCGTCATGGAGACAAGTTTGCTAGTCGAAGTAGAAAGTGTGTTTTTATTGGTTATCCTTATGCGAAGAAAGGGTGGACTATGTTGGATTTAGAAACAAGAGAAGAATTTATCTCTCGAGATGTATTTTTCATCGAAGATAAATTTTCTTTCTTTGAAGCACAGAGAGAACCAAATGAGTCTATACATGATGGACTGGGCCATATTTCTCATTTTATGAATGAGTCTGGATTTGAGAGAAAAGATGAAGAAGTTGTTAAAAGAAGTGACACAGTGTGTGACATAGTGCCTGAAGAAGTTACAAGAATTATTGCAAATGATGTGCAGAAACCAATAATTGTGTTAGAGGAAGCGATTGAGAATGAAACAGAGCATGTAGTTGTGACCCATGGTGACACAGGAACACAATCTGGACCTTCGAGAGACACACATGTGGAGACTAGTGCATCAGATACAACGTTAGGATGGGGTATGAAAAAGAAATAAGCTTTTGTCAGATTACGTGATTATGTGGTTAACACTGTGGTTCATGCTCCTATGTCTAATCTACTGTGAATCCAGATGGAAGTTCAGAATATGGAATTGAGAATTTTGTGAATTATGATAGATTTTCTGAGTCACATAGAAGGTTTTTGGCTAATGTAACAGCAAGGACTGTGCTAAGGACATTTGCTGAATCAATGAAATGTCCAAAATGGCGAGAAGCAATGAGGGTTGAGATCGAGGCTCAAGAGAAGAATAAGACGTGGTCAACTGAATTTTTGCCTTATGGTAAGCGGGTTGAATGCAAGTGGGTATTCACAACAAAGTATAATGTAGATGGATCGATTGAAAGGTATAAGGCTTGACTTGTTGCTTGTGATAATCAACAAGAAGAAGGAGTTGATTACAAAGAAACGTTTGCCCTAGTGGTAAAAATGAATACAATTAGAATGGTTCTTTTGGTTGCTGCAAGAAAGAACTAGGAACTTCATCAGATGGATGTACACAATGCGTTTCTTCATGAAGAATTGAAAAAGGAATTGTATATGAGGCTACCTCAGGGTTTTAGTGCTTCTACAAAGGGAATGGTATGCATGCTGCACAAATCTTTGTATGGTTTGAAACAAGCTCCGAAGTATTGGTTTGCTAAGCTTTCAGAAGTTCTTTCAAAATTTGGTTTTACACAGAATAAATGAGATTACTAACTCTTTTCATTGGTGAATGTTAAAGTTCAGTTGCATGTTCTAGCATATGTTGATAATCTGATGATAACATGAAACTCACCAGATGTTATTCGAGAGTTTAAGGGATATCTTAAAAGTTGTTTTCATATGAAAGATTTGGGAAAACTTACCTAATAAACATAAACAAAGTAGCAACAGACAAAACAGATCTGTGATGTTAACTGGTTGATCAGTAAGAGTCAGAATCCAGATTCTCTGAAGACCTAACTGACCTCTTTATGCTACTCAGCATCTTCATCATCTTCCTCTCTCTTCTTCTTGCTAAGCATTCTTGTTGAATGACTTGCACATTTTTAAGCAACAATACTTTAACTGAGCTGTAATTACTGAAAAGGGTGGATGCAATTCCTCCTTACCTTTTTTTACCAGAACGTTCTTCAGTTTGGTAGTGCTGAAATCGTCCTTTGTGCCCAAGTCCTGGAACCCAACTAGCCTATCTATCGCAATTCCCTTGCTGAGAATGATACAAAAGCCGTAATTTATCAGAATAAACCTATCAAGAAACCATGCATGTAAGAGTGAATCGAAAGAGATGGAAACCTGAAAAGCAAAACACAAGGCAAGGTCTTGATTGCTGGCTTCGTGACAAAGAAAGGAGCATTCTGCGTTTATGTTACCCAAGCATTAGATTTGCACCACAGAAACAAAGTTTCAAAAAGGTTCAGTGACCTCTGTGTCTACTCTGAATCTCTGATGAACTTAGTGTCCACATGTCTACGCGCAAGAGCCTTCAGATGCTTATCCATGATCCTATATAAAGGTTTGGATGAGGTTCAAATATTAGAAAATGAAAAGAAAAAAAAAACAGAAGCTGAAGGGGATAACTTACTTGCAGCGGTAAAAACTCCTTGTGGTAGAAATGACAAATCACTTTCACTCCTGGTAACTTCTCCCAAGAAATCCCCCTCGCTCACCTCTCGATACTCACCATGTCCTTGTCTATTAAACGCTTCTCTTTTCTCAGCGGTAAGAACGCTTACTTTTAGTACACACCAATAAAAGTAAACAAAAAAACTTTGAACTAAACCTTGAGTGCTGCAATCCTATCAGCGTGCAATTTTTCTAGCTCTGGATCCTACAGAACAATGAGAAACTCTCACCGTTACAGATAGTAGCATAAATCTCAAACAAGAGAAAATAAACAACATCCATAAGTTCATCAAGATCAACCTCCTCGTTGACATGATTTGATGATTGCTCCTTCTCATTTGCAAGCATTTCCTGCAAACGACAACATTTTGTTCAGATAAATAACTTATTTTAAATACTCTAAAACTTTACAGAGGTAATCTGCAAACTGGCCTGATCAGATGAAGTGTTGGAGGCGGATTTATTTGAGTTCGAATAACGTTGAGAAATACCACCCAAGAAAGGATAAAGAAGCAACCCCCACAACCATGGAGAATATGGGAGCAAGCCTAAGAAGAGATTCCTTCTCGAGGATATAGGTGGGGAAATTATTTTACAAATACGGTTCAGTCTCATCTTCTAAATGTCATGATTTAGAAGTAACTTTTCTACTGTAAACTAGAAACACATCAATGAATATAAAGACTTGTGATAATTCATTTTGGATTACTTTTATGTGTAAACTTTCCATGTTTCTTCAAACAAGCACATAGAGAATCTCATATCAGATCTCTCTTTACTTTTATTAACCATTATTTTTCACTCGGTTTTATTCTTGGTCATACACATTAGCAGTGTATTTATTAATACTAGCACCATAGTTCTCTTATAAAGCCATAAAATGGCATTGAAACACTACTCTGTTGTGCGTAACTTGTTGAAGAAGGAAAGAATCTCCTCTGAAACTCGTTCAGACTTCTCCTGCTGGATAAAATGATGACCATCCTCAATAACAACAACCTCAAGATTAGGCACAACACTCTTGAACATCTCTCCTTTCGCATACTTAATCGTTCCATTGGCTCCTTCATTTCCTATATCTTTGTCTCCAGCAATAAACTTTGTCGGAACAACAATCTTGTAGCCTTGCCACGGCGCTAGTATCTCCCAGTTCCTGTAGTTTCCTCAAACTTTCAACACGTTTGTTTAAAAGTAACAGCAAAGGACATCAAGAGAAGTAAAACTTACAGATCCATGGCTCTGTAGTAATTCAAGGCGCCTGTGAATCCAGACTTTTGAAACTTGTCTGCATAAACCTGAATCTCTTCTTCAGTTATCCAATCCGGAAGCGTTGATGGAACCTCAAGATCATCGATGATCTCTGTATCAGGAGGAGCCACCCAGAAATCTGATCTCGTTGTTAGCAAGAACTTCTTCATAACGGTCGAGCAATCATACTTGGCAAATGCAGCCTCAGCTCTTCCGGGTTCCTTGTAAGACAGAACCAAGGAACTGAATAAGTTACGACACAACAAAAAACACCACAAATCTTGAACGTTACCTGAAACTGAGTGATGTATAAACCATCTCCAAAGCTTTTGAATAAGTCGGAAGGTTTGAGATTTGGATCTCTTGGAGAATATGGAACAGAGAGACTAACGAAACCTCTGACTCTGTCTGGTCTAAACAAGCATAGGGTCCAACCTATGATGGCTCCCCAGTCATGTCCAGCCACAAAAGCCTATAACAGTGAGAGAAACGTAAACTATTTTTTTCATAAATCTAACATTTAATTTCTTGATAGAGTCTTACAGATGAGAGATCATATTCACCTGAGCAGTGCCGTAGTGATCGAGCAAACCAATGACATCAGCAACGAGGTGGCTCACAGTGTAAGACTCATGGTTTGGAGGAGAATCTGAGTCAGCATAGCCTCTGAGATCTGGAGCAACTACGTGGTAGCCATGGCTCGATAAGAAATCGATCTGGTGACGCCACGAGAACCATGTCTCAGGGAAGCCATGGAGTAACAGAACCAAAGGCCTTCCATCATCTCCTTTCTCAGCCACGTTTAAGCAAATCCCGTTGGTTTTGATCTTCTTCTCTCTTACTTCACTTGTCATGATTCTTGATCTGATGATTCTTGATCTGATGATGAGAGGGAGAGAAGAAAAATCAGCGACCAAGTGAGACTTTTATTACAAGAGTTGAGATTTTGAGAGAGGCACAGAAACTAATGGATGTACACGTGGAGGAAAAAGACACAGACCAAGCCTCTAGTTAGATTACACGTGTGAGTCGCCAATCTTGATTCAGAAATTGTTTCAGTCTACGAGTTGCTATTAACAAAAGATCTTTCAAAGTTCATGAAACAAAATAAAAAAGAATTTCCACAAGTTCATTAAAAAAGAAATCCATAAATTAAAAATCTTCTTCCGTTGTAAACATTTTAATGGATTTATTTTACAACAGAAGAAAATTTTGTTGTATTCATTAGAAAACAAAAATACATCATCAAATGAAATTGATCAAAACATATATAAAAATTGAATTTGGTTTGGTTTAACTGATTTTAAGATGTTTGGTTAGGAATAAACCAATTAAAACCATCATATGTAGGTAATTAAGTTTTGAAGTATTGATTCAAGGAGAAATAGGTTTGTAATTTTCAAGTTGTGGACATCTAGCATGAAGTCATAGTTCGGTGGGGATCTCAGAGGCGGACCCAGAAAATAATTTAACATGTGGCACAATATATATATTTTAAAAAAAAAATCATTAGTCACTAAAAGGTTACATTTTGCAGAAATAGATCATATAAAAAGAAATAAATAATTTTATAATTTTAACTATTTCATTTTAAGTAATGTTATAAAATTATGTATACCACATAATATTTTTATCAAAAATCATTTTAGAGTGAAATTTAAATAAGTTATATTTTTATTTTGGAATAATTAATATTAGAGAAAGAAAAGAAAATTAAAAAAAAATTGTAAACAAAAAAAATAATAATTCTAGCTAGCAAAATAAATGAAAAGGGAAATATGATTAAAAGTGTAGAAACAATTTATTTTTTAAGAAAAAAACATAAACGCCAAATGGACTTGAACTCAGGGAGGGTGGAGCGCAACTTTTGAACCATTAGAGCTACATGATAATATTTATTGGCTCACGTAAGAGGAGATCTATAATTTTAGCATGTGGCACGTGACACACCCTTCACACACCTCGGTCCGCCACTGGGGGATCTGATGCTATATGATAGTTCTTGTGGGTAAATAGATCCTCTACCCTATTTTAAGAGAGGCACAAAAGCTAATTTAAAGATATTTTAAAAACAAATTCCATTGTATAATTTAAAGGTAATTTGTTAAAAATTACTTGGAAAATTGTTTGTGTTATATTTGTGCTTAGAATCTACAGATTTTGCTAATATTCATATTTTTGCTTATAATGTGATGAATTGATTAGTGTTTAATAAAAACTTAAACATTTGAAACTTCCATTTATTCAAAGCCAAGTAGAATCTAAAATTTGTTTTATTTTGAATTTTCATTTCCATTATTTATTTTATTTAAACTTTTATTTCAATTTTACTTTATATATTTTTCATTTCATAAAACACTTTAAACATTTTAACAGGAAGAATTGGGAATGGTTGAACATCTTATCTAGTTATTTTAAAATTCTCTATTGGTTGTTTTCCACAGAGTTGAGAGCTTCAACATCGGATGATTTTTTTTGTCGACGTCCATCTTCTAAGATCAAGTGGTAGACAAGTAAGAGTCATTTTGAAGAGATGTTATCTCCGACTGGGTCTCATTGATTTTTTGATACACCAAGCCTAAAATACTTAGGCTACACTGATTTTGTTTCACAAGATTATCGAGTTGTAGAATTTGAGTTTATTCTCGAAGTCAAGCTTAAACTTCACATGGTGGACAATATCCAATAAGATTATATGTTCCCACGTAGGTATACAGAGATAAGAAACGGTAAATACAAAAATTAGAAAGGAAGGTGTAATATGTAGAACAAGGTTACCTAATTACTACAAAGATAGTTGATTAGGTTTTATTGGAAATAAATAACAAAAATAAGTTGTATAAATATTATGTTAGAAACCACTGATAAATGATAAACAACAAAAATATAAGAAACATAAACTAAATTGAAATGTGAAACTAATTTAGTTAAATCAAAACAAAATAAACCAATAATTTATAATTTTCCTGATAAAAAAGTTAGATCCATTAATATTTATCGAAAGTCACCAAATAGGCATGACAAACAAACTATATGCTCTTTCTAGTTGCACAAGTCTGAGGAACATGATTTACATTGTGCAAACTTTGGTCATGGTTTTCTCAAGACGCTTAGTGCCAATAACCAAATAATACATGTGAGTGAGCTTGAATTGGATAACGGGTTTAACTTTAATTGCTCACAATAGGGAAGATGATGTCTCAACTATATAATTAGGCATATGAAATCACATAACACTTTAAAAGAAACATAGACACTTTAAGGGGTTTAACTTTAATCAATGTCGCTTCTGTTTCCAAAGGCACTGCTTTTGTCTTCAATTGCCAGGTTGAATTTCCAAATCTTCTTGGTTTTTTTAAGTATTTTTTTTGAGATCTACTGTTCTTGACTTGCAACATTTCCTTTTTCACTTGAACATTCACAGTCAGGAAGAGGTAGAACAACAACTGGGACTGTAATTTCCTGCCTAGTGAAGCTTCGAATGAATCATGGGAGACCTATTAAGGTCCTGACGAGTACAGTTGTGTATGACGATTCCTCAAGTGGTGAAGAGGAACATGGTCGAACATTTGGAATAGATGACATCCTTCTGCTGTGGAAAGTCACTGCACTATTTGATAATGGAGTTGAGTCTCGTGTAGCGTTAGATGCTGTGATTGATATATGTTCTATGATTGATAGATGTCCTGCAGTGCACAATATTCGTGAAGCTGTTCTGCATTACCGAAAGGTTTTCAACCGACAACATGTTGAGCCAAGATTGAGAAATGGAGCACTGAAACGTAGCGCTGAATACTTGGAGAGATACTTCTGGTTGATTGCCTTTGCAGCATACATTGGAAGCGGAAATTTTGATGAAGCAAATGTCAAAGGAGGAGGCTGTAAGATGACGTTTAAGAATTGGTTGCTTGCAAGACCTGAGGTGCAAGCGATGAAGTGGAGCGTAAGGGTAAGGCTTCGACGGTTTTTTTACCATTCCTCTGAGGATAAAGCTATAAAATGGTTTTTTTTGTACAGGAGGAATTGCAGTCACAACCAGCAGATTCAGTCATCATTTGTGGTTGTGTTTTTAAAAAGGACTTTCTCCCCGGCCTACCTTTGCATATTGATGAAGAATGTGTGGATTCAAGAAGGAGAAATGGAGCCAAGAGAAGACAACGTTGATTGAGAGATAAAGTTGTTATAAATGTGTTACAAATGTTATTGGCTTTAGTATAAATAAAAGACCCAGAGTAGAATAATATTCAGTTAGTTGATCCTTGGACTGGGCTTGTTTCTCTCTAGGGAACAAGATTGTAATTGGCTTAATCTCTGATTCATCAAAATACATCAAGATTCGATCACAGTTGTTTACATCAATGGAACTCCATTTGTCTTGAGAGAACTGCGTAGACCTGTTGATATCCTCAACCATGTTGGAATAGCCAGTCCAGTGGTAAGTTTCAAACTCTACCTGGTAATAGTACAGTGATGCAATTATGCAAATGCGGTTCTGTTGATTCACATACTAATTAACTATACCGGAGGTCGAATTGTATTTCATCGTGAGGCATCAAAGATTGCTAAATCTTTATTAACTGACGGCTAAATGATTGCTAAATCTTTATTAACTGATTGCTAAATGATCTAAATGATTGCTAAAGGCAAATGACTGCTAAATGATTGCTAAATATTTGAAAAGAAACCACTTATCGGTAGCATGGCGTTCCATAAATCCTCGGGATCTGGGTTCGAATTCGTTTACATTCAGATTATCACAACGTGTGGTCACCGGGACTTTCACATTCTCTCTCCCAGGAATGGTTTACCTTTTTTTAATATTTGAAAAGATAACATACAGTTTTGAATATTTAGCAAATGACTGCTAAATAAAAGTGACAAAGAATGTGAGAATACAGAAAAAGCATTAAAGTAAAGAAAAATGATTGTCATCTACATGAAGTATATGATATGCATACTAAATCCATGAACTTTATGTTGCTATGTAGCTAACATCCCAAGACTAATTATATTAATTATATCACAAGGATAATTACATTAATAATTTAAATATAAAAAAAATTAAGAGATGGAAAATCTTTTTAATTTTCTGTTTTTATTATTAAGAATATTTTTTAGTTTTTATTGTAAAAAAATTTCTACAACAATATTAAAATTAATGTTATTTAGAAAAAAAAAACATTTTAACTTTATTTTAATTTTATATAAATTTAATAGTTTGTTAGTTTAGCATTTATTTTTATATATGATTTAAATAACTATTTATATTTTTAAGTAAAGATATAAAAATATTTTTGTTTTTTTATGAAACTTTATAATTAGATATATTTGAAAATGTCCATCTAAGGAAGGTACACATGAATAAATGTATCAAAAATGAGGTAAAAGTAAAATTTCCCTATCATTCTGTGGTGGGTTAAATAAAATTTTTATATATATAAATATGATTGGAATTTTAAATAGTTAATTCATTTATACAATATTTTTCAAAAAAAATTTATATCTTTATAAATGTCTTTATAAACATTTTCAATAAACTAAAATGTTTTTAATATTTTTAATATCTTATTACAAAGGCTTATAAAGACATTTATAAAGATTCAAAACATTTTAAAAATATTATTTAAATGACTTAACTATTTAATATGTTCATAAAAAAATTTAGAAAAGTCTTTTTCCATTTAGTGAAAATGTATTTGTAAAAATATCTCCTTAATGAAGGAAAACATGAATTGTGTTTTAAGAAATAGGGTAAAAATAGAAATCTCACCTACAAATCATATAAAAATATAAATAATAAACTAAAAAATTATTAAAAATGTTAATATGCATATTATATAAATATGCATATATAGAAAATAAATATAGAAAAGAAATTACATTGACATAGTATAAACTAGATTTTTTTTACCTCTGGAGAAACTTTTTGTCTTTTTAATTACAGCTAGAGTCACCGTGCACTTATAAGGCACATCTGTTGTGTTCTTTGTCTATTTTGCCCTTTAACCAAAACTAACACATATCACACGTGATTAAAAACTCTTTCTCTCTCTCTCGAGTCTCAATCTATTTCTCTCCGCCTAAAACAAATCTTTTTGTTGAACCCTAATCCCCAATTAAAAATCTAGAATCTAATACCTGTTGAAGATGATAAAGAATAAGAACCACAAATCCGACACATCAAACTTCGATTCTCTATCGAAAATACCTCGAAACCTAATGCCTATTAAAAAAGTTGAGCTTTTTTTATACTTTGGAAACCAAAAATATCTTCCTCTGTCTCAAAAGATGGCTTCAATGGTGAAGCTCCGGTGGGTAGGTAGTAGGTTTCAATGGCGAAGCTCCGGTGAGCTTGTGAAATTCTTGTATGGGTTCTGAATGAACATGATTTGTGGTTGAAGATGAAGTGAAGATAGAGAAAAATGGCAGTGGGATCTCTACGATAAGAAAAAATACAAAGATGTAGAAAAAAGATAACTTTACCTTTCGATCTTCTAAATCTTATATTTTTAGATTTTCTAAAAAAAATTGATCTTCTAAATTTTTGTAATGGATTCTCGTTTTTGTTTTGTAGGTTTCTTAGTGTTGTTGTAAATTTCAAAATCCAGATCTGCAAAGTTGCGATTTCAAAATCCAGATTTACAAAAGATGTGGATGGATAGTGTATGGATAGCTCGGACGTGGATGGGTTATGTGTGAATGGTTGAAATTTGGATAGATGCTGTGGATGGACAGAATCGTTGTGGTAATGTTTTAAGTAGTTTACCCAGACCTGGACATCAGTTCGTCCTCCCCCGCTGATCCGGTCCTCAAACTCTTGTCTATATTGGGAAAGCTCAGCCGAGTAAGTGATGCTATGCTTAGGAGTAAGGATCTCAGGCTCATGCCTCTCTCGAGCTCACTCATGTTGTCGTCATATCTTTCCACAAGGAATCCATCGTCTTTGCTTGATTTTGACGATCTTCTTCTTCTTCAATAGATCACAACACAACTCTTACCAAACCCTAACATCTCTCTCCCTCTTTTTCTCCGTCGGATGGTTCTAAAAGCTGTAACCACTTCCCCTATAAACCCTCAATGGGGGTGCTCTTACTTTTCTTCTTCATAATGTTGGTTAGTGATATCACAGAGTTCACACGGAAATTAAGAAGAAGAAAATAATAAATAACAAAAACCTATGATCTCCTCTCTTCTAAAGCTCTCTCAGGTGAACCTCTCTCTCCTAAGGTTCAACACGTGGCAGCCCGTGATTGGTCTAGTTTTTTTTTTTTTTCTTTAAAAAAAAATCAAAAAGAAAAAGAAAAAAAGTTAATAATAAAAAATTAAAAAAATGAACACTCAAATGAGTTTCATTGATGGGGATGCTCTAAATCATCTAAAGTTTTCCTTTTTGGCGGAGGTTATGGCTGCTTATTGGACTCGGAGTGAGTTTGGGCCAGCTTCAAACAAATATGAATGAAACCAATCCAACTAGTTTCTTACTCCTTTTTTTTCTCCATTTTATTATTTTTTCTTTATTTTATTTTATTTTGAAAAAAAAATTAGAGAAATACACTCAAATAAAATTATAGTTTAACAACTACATCATTGTTTAAATTTTTGTAAAAATACACTTATGTATATATAAATTTACCAAATTGTTCAATCATAATATTTTTCTACACTAATATACTTTTCTAAACATTTTGTTAAAAAAATCGTTAGAGAATCTACATAATATTTTTTTTAATATATCTACACAATATATTTCTCATATCTTTTTAGTATACCTTATTTTTTTATTATTTTGGAAAAATAAAAGAACTCAAGACGATGTTTTGTCTTCTCGTATCTTCTATATTTCTGAATCTTTTGTTTTTTTCTCTAGTTTCACATATTCTTTCTCTCATCTCATTAAGAGGTTTGTTGATTTATGATCAGATTTCAGTTTCTCTGTTTTTAGTTATTCGAAGAATAGTTTTTTTTTGTTTTAGGAAAGTAATCTTTAGACGAGATTTTTAATGCAAGCAACGCCATTTGTCTTTCTTTCTCTTTCTTTTTCATTACTTTTTTGAATCTTGTATTTCATCTCTATATAAACAACATAAATAAAACAAACCAGTAAAATATAAAAAAAAATCAAATCATTTGTTTAAACAAATTTATAGGTTTTCATGTCACGGAAAAAAAAAGAAAAACAAGGCGATAAATGAGAATTAGGGTTCTTCGTTTTCATATTCAAAATAAAAAAAATAAACATATATGTGAATAAATCATATTAGAACTTATTTGGTTCCGGTAAATGATGACTTCAAAGAAGAATGAAAATTTTGTAGAGAATATAATTTGATTTGTTTATATAAATTTAAGAAAATAGAATAAAATCTATATAATCTTCTTGATAAAGTCAAAACAATTCATAATTTATTTATTTTATAATGTTTTTGTTATTGTAAAAATTTAAATCGTAAAATGACATATTTATTTTAAACATAAATCGTTATAATATTCTTTTTAATTTTGAATTTATATCTTAATTATTAAAACGTCTAATTTGGATAAAAAGTAAATTCAAATTTAAGAAATTCTAGTTCTCAAAAAAAAACAGTGTATTTTTCAAATTTCAAATCCTAAATAAGGTATTTTGCAAAATATCCCATTTATTTTTCTTTTTTGGCGTTGTTTCTTGCATAAGCTGTAAAGAGCAAAATAGCATTAAAACAAAGAGGGCCCAAAAGCAAACCAAACAAGAAAACCTCGGAAAAGAGGCGAAGCAACATCACCTGCGATCGCCACCGGCAATGTTCCCGAGCATCTCCTCCATGTGGATATACTTGTACCAGAGCTGGTCCACGTGTACTGACGAGACATGGATAGAGAGAGACTTGCATCCAAATTTTCATATTCATTACCATCTTCCTCATTTATGTGTCTTGCGATTGGTATGTTGTATATTAAAGATTATTCGAACGTTTTCTTGTGGATTCAAAGTGAACACTAGTTCTCCCGAGTGATACAAGACGCATTCTCAAAGAATACACTGTACACACAAACACCAAGACCTTTCCCTTCTCCATAGTGAAAACGATGGAATGTTTTAAATTACAACAGTCTTTGGTCTGTCACATTACGACAATAAGTTCCCAGCCATATCAATCATCTTCACATTAAACCCACATTGCTTCTTCATTACCATAGATCCTTGGATCATAAACCAAATCTTACAACTGAATCAATCTCTTGAAACAATACGTTCCCAAGATGAACCAACCCGTAAGCAAAAACGCTAGAACACCACAAGAAGCTACGAATGTCCATCCACCTATTAACATCCCTATACCATAGATTACAACCGTAGGCAGAAAAGCCTTAACCATCGCAGTTTTGCTCACCCAACGTCCCTTAAGAAACACTAACGCTGCGAGATTCACAACATTCCATCCACCTGATCGTATCGCTAGACGGTTCAGGTTGTTAGCTACAAAGGAGTGACAGTTGCAAGTCAATATGTTGTAAGAATAGTGTTGATACTCCTGCGTGCCTTTCCTCAACGCATCATCCCATGTTGGCTCTTTCTCGTTAGTAGCGTCTCCTTCTTCATTGAACATACATGAGTTGGAAGAAAGAGATGATTCCTGACCAAAAACCCAAACCCAAAGTTGTTAACTCTAAGCAAAAGGAAATAATAAAAAGACAGAAACTTGGAAACGTTACCTTAGCTTTGTTGATTTGGATGTAACGAGACACAGCTCCAAAGGCGAAATTGTCAACACAGACGAAGTTAGGTCCCGCGAAGTCGAGGATGACACCGTCTTCTCTGCAGATACCCACGTGGCCTATAAAGGGAACCAGCCATGTAATGAAAGGGAGTGGTGTCCAGACAATGCAGCATGGGAAACGGTCTCTGCTGGGTTCAATCCTCATTGGATCTTCAAAACCGAGCATGATGCCATGTTCTGAATCCATTGTTGTCTTCTGTCCCATTTAAAAGTCCAAGTGGGCTTCGTTATTCGATTCTCTGTTCTCTATACAACATGACAAACAAACATAAGCTCATCAATGTCATCATCTAGACATGTACTAAGTGAACTCTATAGGCTTTGTAATAGCAAAAACAATTATTTGGATTCCTTAACAAATATACCATGAAATGAAGACAAGTTCATTGCAGATAAAAATAAAGACTACCGATTAAATGATTTCTGTATATATTATATATGAAATTTAGAAGAGTCATCATAGATTAATCAAATCGAAATAGACTGCAATTCTGATATTTATAGATCAAAACGTACCAATTTAAGTGGAAACAGACGACGATAATATCTCCGATCTAAGATGAACTGCGCAAAAGATTCTTCATTGGAAAAGAAAGTTAAGAACGATGTTTAAAGAAATATGTTTGGCTCCTGGGTTTAAAGTAATCCTCTCCGAGGATAATCCTCACCTGAGAAACGACATAACGTTTTAGTTCTGTATAATGAAAACGGCAGGCTGTTTAGTTTTGAAAACGTGTAATAACGCCATACGTAGTCGTTTTATGACTAACACTGTGACGTCACCGGGTTTTCTTCCCTCTACCGAAATTGAACCCATCCAATTAGCTGTGGCGGTTCAAACCGGTTTTGGTAAACCAGACAGGAAGCTTTTATACCGGTATAGATTCAGTGCTATACCTCCTGATGATTTCAGCTTTGTAACTCTATTATAGTTTGTAGAGTCCAAAGAGAGGCAAATGTAGGACTTTATGTTTTCTCATGGGGGTATCGTACATTTCATTTTTTTAAACAAGTAAATAGATAGGTTAAATTAAATTGATAGGTTTAAAAAAATGTTTAGATTGCCAGTAATAATTGATGCAGCGGTGAGCGGTGTGGTTAAAAGTTATCGAATTTGGACCATGCTAGTGTTTATAATAAGTAACCTCAATTTTCAAATGGGAATGTGGGAGGCATGAGTGGCGTAATGATTTCCGTATATACGATAATATAATGTACAAAGCCATCGTTTATACAGAAAGATAATAAAGGCGTGCATTTGCCCAATAACTTATTTTAGGTCAATGCTATTTACCTCTCGACGTAGTTGCATTTTCTTTGTCCCCAAAACTTTCAAATTTCATGTCAAATATATAATTTAATTTACAGTTTCAAAGCCAACTTTAAGATTGTATTTCTTGGTACAAGTCTCTTTCTTTTTTTGCAAATGGCAAACATATTATTAGAGCACCATTAATGGAGGTTGTTTAGAGAAGGTGGCTTTTTTACACTCTCTCTCTTCAAAATAAGCCACCTTTTCTTCCTAAGCAACCCTCTAAACAACCTCCATTAATGGTGCTCTTACTGGTATAGAACACATTAGTTATGAAAGAACGAGAATGCAGATACACATCCTTAATGAGGAATGTAGAAGGTGACTAGAAAAACATATTTCTAATAAAAGCATGCAAAGAGGTTCACGAGATATCTTAATATGGGCACGACTCTATTCCCATTATCTCTTTTTGCCCTTTTATCTCTTCTTCTATTTATCAACTTTATTATGTTTTCATACAAACTGTCGAGAGAAAACATACGTCAATTTTCATATAGATGGTGAGCATAATGAACCCAATCCACTCTACTCCTTAAGTTTATCAACATTAGTCCGAAGCCTCTATTTATCAACGTTTTAGGCATGTAAGTTAAAACTAATTAATAGCTCAAAACATAAGTTAATTTAGTCGTACAGATTTGTAAAATCTTCGAACCCACTTTTACTATACGTACTATTAAAGTCTAACAGAAGAAGACAACAACCTTAGAGTTTGTGGTCACGGAAACAA